AGAGATTTATCAGTTTAGCTCACAGGATAGAGTCCAAGTAGTCCAACAATGGCTGCACCACACTGGAGAGGCTGAGAATCCGTAGTCTCAGTCCACGAGGCTGGATGTCTCAGTAGTCCCAATCTGGTGCCGAAGGTCTGACGAATTCCAAAAGATCAGCTAGTCTTTAGCAAGACGAACTCACCAGCAAGAGAGAAGGTAAGCAGCAAGAAGCCAGGCATTCTCCTTTGCGGTGGCCTTTTATACAGGCTGCCATCAGAAGGTAACAGCCATATTTAGGGCGTGTCTTCCAGCTTCAGATGATCCAATTAAGATCTCTCTCATTTCATTTAATCCCAGATCCAGTCAAGTTGACATCCAGGATTAGCCATCACAGGCTATATAACATATAAATAGTCTGTTAAAGATGCCTTTGAAAGTATAAACAGACAGTGAAATAGTGTACTTGATCAGTAGATCCAGCTCCGTCAAGTCATATGTCATGGCACATTCCTACTCACTTCTATTATCTGAATTGTAGGTCACACCATCCCTCATTTTCTGCAAGCTGAATAGCTGTAGTTTTTAAGTCAAGAACTTGAGAGAAAGGAACTAGAATAATAGTTTCCCAATGAAATTTAAGCAAATATTTTATTACCCATGATTTTAAACAATGACATAAAAATCTAAAATGGATAGGCATTACTAGAAAATATGGTAAAATTTAATGTCATTTCCAAAATCAGGCCCTTAAAAGGATGTAGTCACTCAAGTTTGGAAGAAAACGGTATTATGAGAGGTCTATGAAATATATCCTGAACAGCTACTAAGACATACCTGTCCCTTCTCATATGCACCCAATTTACTGAATTGAGTTTTCTTTTTTAAAAATGCATATGCCAGGCGTGGTGGCACATACCTTTAATCCCAGCACTTGAGAGGCAGAGGCAGGCAGATCTCTGTCAGGTCAAGACCACTCTGGTCTATATAGCAAGTTCTAGGCCATCTGGGGCTACAGGGAAACCCTGACTCAAATGTTTTTTATGTGTGTCCATGTTCTTGTGTGTACACGTGCATATGTGTGTGTGCATACATATGGAGGCCAGAAGATAACCTTGTGTCCATGCTCAGGAATACTGTCCACCCTTATTTAAGACAGGGTCTCTCTTAAAATGTGTGTGTGTGTGTGTGTGTGTGTGTGTGTGTGTGTGTGTGTGTTTGGGTTAGGATATATGCATGTGGGTACAGTTGCCCACAGAGACCAGAAGAGGGCATTGGATCCCCTAGAGCTGGAGTTACAGGCACTTGTGAGCTACCGAACATGAGTGTTGAGAACCAAACTTGAGTCCTTTGTAAAAGCAATATGCACTCTTAACCACTGAGCCATAGGTCTCTCAGACAGGGTCTCTTGTCATGTAGCTTACCAAGTAGGTTAGACTGGCTGGACAGTGAGGGGTCCTTCTGTCTCCACTTCCTCGACACTGGGATTACAAGCTGTGCCACCCTCCAGCATTTTTATGTGAGTGCTGACCATCGAGCTCAGGTTCTTCTACTTACAAGGCAGGCTCTTTACCATCTCAACTATCTACCTAGCCCCAGTACTGATTTTTCAATTGTAGAAAACAGATGGTGTCCATAGGTTTTTAATATATCCAAATAATAATTCTTGCAAAAAATAGATACATCCTAAGAGATAGATCTCATCCTTATAAGAAAAAAATATGCAGTATCTAAAGGCCCTATTATTACTTGATTTTTATTTCGATAGGTTCATTGTTTAAAACCCCCCTTTAAAAATGTCCACTTATTTCTTTCTCAATTATGTGTTATGTTTGTCACTATCTCAAAGTGAAAGAAGACTACGATTGAATATTACAGTGGGACCCTAATTTCAGCCCTGAGTGAAAGAGTGAAAAGGTCATCTTACCTGGGCTACAGCTGCAATGACCTGTGGTGCCTGCTGAGGCTCTGCTGTGGGTCCCAGGCAGCCTGTTATCGGGGGATTCTTTTCCTGTGTCCCTTCAGAGTTCTGAAGTTACCCAGCCAGATGAAGAAGAAGAAATGGTGAGGATAATACCAGTATTTTAAGGGGGGGAACTAAGAGAAAGCGGTCCTTACTGTCCCTAGTTCTTACTATCCCCAGCTCATTAAGTTCACAGTGAATATTTAGAGAAGTAGACCCAGAGCTGATAGCATCAGTTTGGGAGATTTCCTTTCCTTCATGATGGCAGTTCTAAATTTGGCAGATGGTCTCACTGTAATTGCAACAACAACAACAACAACAACAAAAAAAAAAACCCAGGGATATATCAACATCCACTTTAGATTAATTGGTTTATATTTTAAATTTTTTATTATAGGGGCTGGGAACATGACTCAGTAGGGAAAATGCTTGCTATACAAGCTTGAGGATTAGAGTTCAGATCCCCAGAATTCATGTAAATGCTGGGAGGGTGTGGCATCCCGCCCGTATATCCTGGTGTTTAGGAGGATCACCAAAGCAAGCTGGAGAGCTAGACTAGCTAAATCAGCAAGCACTGGGTTCAAGTGAGAGACCTTGCCTCGGTGCATAAGGTGGAGGGCAGTTGAAGAAAGACACCCAACATCAACCTCTGGCCTCTGCATGCACATACACATGCTTACACACATACATACATGTGCCTCCACACATTCAATCACACACCCACAGATTTTTTTCATTATATTTGTTAAGCTTTCTTATGAATTAATATAGAATCCATATGGTTTTTTCTAGAAAAAAAACAAAAGCGGAAGTTTATATTAAGAAAAATTAACTAGAGCCACTGAGATGGCTCAACGGTTAAAATGATTGCTGCTTAACCTGATAACCTGAGTTTGATCCCTAGGACCCACATGATGGAAGGAGGGAATTGATTTCCATATACATGCCATGCCGTGCACAGGCACACACACTAAATTAAATAATAAATAAAGTAATTTTTTTAATTGTCCAAGACTCCTGAACTTCTGCGTCCATCTCCCAAATGCTGTGATTTCACGTGTTTGCCATCTGTAAATTTTATGGTTTATATGGTACTGGCAACTGAACCCAGGGCTTTGTACATCCTAGGCAAGCATTCTACTGATTGATCTACACCCCCAGACCCTAGACTTTTAGAATTAAAGATTTGTCTAGTATGCATGAGACCCATTCTAATTATGCCTGGTATCATTCCATGGACTGGAGTCCCAAAGTGAATTAAAAGAGACAGTGAGCTGAGCACCAGCGTTCATCTCTCACTGCTTCCTGACCATGGATGTAATGTGGCCAGCTGCCTCAGCTTCTGCCACTAAGACTTCCCCATCATGATAGACCATAACTCAAACTGAGGGCCCAAATATATCTTTCTTTCCTTAAGTTACTTTTGTCAGATATTTTTCCATAGCAATGAAAAAGTAACAAGTATAATAGTTTAAAACTTTGAATCTGGAGCCTTAAGAAAATGCTGTACCTTTGACCTGGTAAATAATTTGTAAATTTCATACTAGATAAACTAGAATTTTGAGGAAGCAAAGATAACTTGGATGGAAACTATGGTTATCAAATATTCTGAAGACTTTTGAAAATAATAGAAAAACATGCAGTTTGATACCAGGTAATATAGTAAAATCAGTGTTTGAAATTTATACAAAACCAGATTTGAATTAGTCTGAAAAGAATCGTTCTATGAGGTAAAACCCTGAGGTATGCCTAACAGGTATGGGTGACTGCATTGTATTTATTTTAGGAATCAGTGACATTTAAGGATGTGGCTATAGACTTCACATTGGAAGAGTGGAAACTCATGGACTCAACACAGAGGAGTCTGCACCGGGATGTGATGCTAGAGAATTACAGGAATCTGGTCTCCTTGGGTAAGTAGAAGTTCTCCATGTTGATAGATTTCCTCATTTGACCAAATTTTCAAAGGATGTGGACTCTGCAAAGTGCTTGCTCTAGTTTGCTTTCTGTTGCTGTGATAAACACCATGACCAAAAGCAACTCAGGAGAGGACAGGACTTATTGCAGCTCACACTTCCATGCTGCAGTCCATCCTCAGGGAAGTCAGGCAGGAATTCAAGTCAGAGCCTGGAAGCAGGAACCATGGAGGAGCGCTGCTTACTGGCTTGCTTGGCTAGCTTTCTTATATAGCCAAAGCCTGCCTGCCTGGGGATGGCACTCCCCACAGGAGAATGGACCCTCCTACTTAAGAAAATGCCCCACAGACATGGCAACAGGCCAGTCTGATTAAAAAAATTCTTTAGTTGATGTTTTATCTTCCCGAGTGACTCTGTTAAGTTGACAGCTGAAGCTATGACAGTGCTTCACTGAATTTCAGCTCATAGTTTAATCATCAAAATATCTTAAGCTAGGGCGGGGGAAATGACTGTCAGTAAGCACTTGCGAGGAGAACCTCAGCTTGTCAAGTGCAGTTATGTATGTGTGTAATCCCAGCACTAGGGGGCAGGCATGGAAGGATCCAGAGGGCTCACTGTCCAGCCAGTGTAGCCTCGTTTGTGAGCTCCAGGTCAGTGAACCACCCTGTCTCAAAAGAGGTGGACAGTGTTTCTAAGGATGATACCTGAGGATCGTCCTCTAGTCTCCACACACATGGGCACACATCTGCACATGCACCAGCATGCACACGTGCCACATGCACTGACACACATAACTTAATCTTAGAGGCATGTTATATTATGCTATTTCTTGTTCTGTCACTTCCATAAATGGGAATTGCTTTTACCTCTAGAAAGAAAGGAACAAATGTGTTCATTTTCTTTCCTAACTCAGATTATTCCAAGATCTGTTTTTCTGCCCTATAGTGTTAAGCTCCTGCGGACCATCTATGACTCATCAGTGCAGTGCTCTGCTGTGATAGGAAAGTTCTGGATCTAATATCCACTTACCCACTTGTAGCTTTTGTGCATTTGAATTTTGGCTAGTCTACCTGAATAAATTTAAAATTTTCCTCAAGTCTAACTACTTTCAGTTCAGATTTTAATGAACACATGCAGCCATTGGCAAATGTATTGACAGTGAATTTCTGAAACTTCCTATAATGACCGCTGTGATGGTTTTAATGTCAACTTGCTACAAATTAGAATCCCTACATTAGTTCCTTAACTTGTAGAGTTGGATCTTTTATGCATACACATAAAATAAAATTTTTAATTAAAAAAAAAGAAATAAACTGTTTCCTCCCCAGGTTGCTTTTGATCATGGTGTTTATCACAGCAATAAAGAAGCCAAACTAGAACAGCCATCCTGGACAGAGGGCTAAGATCTGAGACTGAATTTGGCGGTACTTGCCTGTGGTTCCAGTAAGTTGTATTTTTTTCCTCTGACCAGGGCTTACAGTTTCTAAACCAGAAATGATATCTCATTTGGAAAGTGGGAAAGGCCCATGGGCAGTGGTGAGAGAAATTTCAAGAACCCCTTACCAAGGTAAGTTAGTCTGACCCAGAAGATGGGGTTGATTTCAAATAATAGTCATTGAGGAATACTGAACAAAAGGTAAGAAATATTTTTGCTGATATCTTTCCAAAGCTTTCTCAAAGGAAAAATCCCCACTGTGTTCCTCAGTCCATGCCAATCCCTTCCACTCCCTCTTCTCTCCCAGCCCCTCTGTCCTTTACCTTTGATTCCCTGTCCCAGCCTGCTCTGTTTTCTTAGGGACATGGCCTTCATAACTGCTCCTCCTCATGCAAACATTCCTAATATACCCTTTTCACTTGTACCCTTTCAAGTTGACTTCGTATTTTTTTGTCATCTGTCTCAACATCATCAGATATTCCCTTTTAGTTTCCTGAAAACGCTTTAGGGGTTACCACTGATTCCTTTGAAGCTGGGCCTTTTTGCTAGTGGTTTAACATTCTTTACCCACAAGGCTCTAAACCTACAGGAAGGTCTATTTTCCTTCCTCCAGGTTCTTAACAAATTGAGAATACAAACAAGGAATAGTTGTGAATCAAAATACAGTATTCACTTATTTAGTAATTGAGTACTGTGAATCAGGTTAGGTTCGGGGGCAACAGGAATGAATAAGATGCCCTCATATTGAAGATGTAATTCACCAAGTAACCAGTTGAGAAGAAAATAAAAAAAAACTAGTCAGGGGACTGGAGAGATTGCTCAGTGGTTAAGACCACTGTCTGCTCTTGCAGAAGGCAAGGGTTCAAATCCCAACACCCACATGGTCGCTAACAACCATCTGTAACTCCAGTTCCAGGGGATTTGACGCCCTCTTCTGACTGCCATGGGCATTACATGACAGCTACATTTACATACAGGAAATATACGCATACATATAAAATAAAAATAATAAATAAAATCTTTTTTAGAAGCTAGTCAGTGGTTGTGATGCCTATCAGCTATGACATAAATGAAGGCATACGAAGAGCAGTGGTGATGGGAATGAGAATGTCTCCCTTAGGAGCTGGGAAGATGGCTCAGTGCGTAAAGTACCTGCTGTACAAGCATGAGGACCTGAGTTTGGATCCCCATTGATTTATGACACAGTGCATGCTAATATCTCAGCACAATGAGGAAGTAGAGATGAGCGGATTCCCGAGGCCTGCTGGCTAGCTACTCTAGCCAATTCAGTGAGCTCCAGCTTCACCAAGAGGCCCCTATCTCAAAAACTGAGGGGGAGAGTGACTGAGGATGGCACTCAACACACACAGGCCTACATGTCCACACACGCACAGACACGCAGACACAGAGAGAGAGAGAGAGAGAGAGAGAGAGAGAGAGAGAGAGAGACTCTCCTTCCAGTAGACTGGCCAAGGCTGGAGAGATGGATCAGTAGTTAAGAGCACAGGCTGCTCTTGCAGAGGACCCAGGTTTGATTCCCAGCTCCCACACGGCAGCCAACAACCATCTGTAACTCCAGTTCCAGGAGATCTAATGCCCTCCTTTGACCTCCACCAGCTTTGCACTACATGGGTATGCTTACACACATACAGGCAATACACTCATACACATAAAATAATAAATAAGTAATGAATATCTAAATAATAAAATATTTTAGTAAAAAAAGTAGGGTGGCCAGTGGAGGCCATTGAGGAGATAGCTAAATTGAAACCTGACAGGTCAGAAGAAACCAGCCGAGAGAACACAAGAGAAGCATTTGAGGTAAAGGCAGCAGCAATACAAAGGGCCTGATACAGAAAAGAACATGGTATGTTCTAGAAATCAAGTGGAAACCTGTGAGACTGAAGCATAAGTTCAGGGAAATTGGTATAAAATGAGGTGAGGGGGTTGGACAGGATCGGCCTATACAGGGCTTCACAGATGATGGCGAGGACTTTGGCTTTTAATGTGAGCTGAAGGTAAAAGTGTAGAAAGATTTATTTAAGGATTTGGGGGAATCACCCTGTTTCTGAAGACTGAACTTAAGAGTGTACAGCAAGTAGTGTGTTAAGCTGTTTCTGTCATCTAGACAGGAGATGAGGGCAATGGTAGGGGAGGCAGAAAGAAAGAGATTCTAGATCATTTGAATATTCATTTTATTATGATGGCACCTATAACATACACTGCATATAATCTTTGAATATATTTATATATATATTACTCAAGAGTGAATGAAAGGTGGATATTGCCTGTGGTTGGCTAGGAGCCCTTGGGCAGTGACTTGAGGACTACAGAGGGAAGAAAAGCAGTCATTTAGTTTTGAGATGAGTCTTTATGGAATGTTTCAGTGTGCTAGGAATCCCTCAATGGAGAGGTAGAAATTAATGTGCAAGACAAAGTTGACATCACTGAAGGACTAAAGTGTGTGAGAAGGCTTAAGGGGACAGATTTGGCTGGGAAAGGGAGGACTTTGATGGGCAGGGAGGGCACCTCCATTTAATCTAAAATTTTAATTTATTGACACCCTTTCTCTGCTTATCTTTAAGATGTCTTTTGATCTGGCATAGCCTTTCATTCTCTTCATTCTCTTTTCAATCCTATTTGGCTTTTAAAGATTTATTTTTCTTTCTTTCTTTTTCTTTCTTTTTTTTTTTTTTTAAAGACAGAGTCTCTCTGTAGTTCCATTTGGTCTAGAATTCACTATTAGACCAGGCTGGCCACACTCTCTGAGAGATCCACTTGCCTCTGCTTCCAGAGTGCTGGGATTAAAGGTGTGCCACCACACCCAGCAAGATAAATTCTTTTTTAAAAGAATATTTCATTTTTGTTTTATGTGTATGAGTGTAATGCCTGCATATAGATAGATGCACCCATGTCATATAATGCCCACGAAGGTCAGAAGAAGGCATTTAATCCCCCGGAATTGGAGTTACAGATGACTGTTAGCCACCATGTGAGTTCTGGGAATCAAACCCATCTCCTCTGAAAGAGCAGCCATTGCTCTTAACAGACAAGCCATCTCTCCAGCCTTGATAAATTCTTTTTATCTTTTCTTGTATGTTTGGTCTCTATTTCATTTCTTTCTGCCTTTTTATTTCATTATTTTTACCTTCTTAAGATTTAATTTGTGGGGCTAGAGAGATGGCCCAGCAGTTAAGAGCATCGATTGCTCTTGCAGAGGACCTGGGTTCGATTTCCAGCACCCACATGGTGGCTATGAACCGTCCTTAACTCCAGTTCCAGGGGAATTCAAAGCCCTCTTCTGACCTCCGTGGCATTGCATTTTAAAAGATTTAATTTGTGCTTTTGCTAACTTTAACTGAGTACTTTTATCAATGATTTTCAGCCAATCTGGGTTTTCTAATAATGTATTTAGAGCTATCAGGACTATGTATTTAGAGCTATCAGGTGGATCTCTGTGAGTTCGAGGCCAGCCTGGTCTACATAGCAAATTCCAGGCCAGCTGTGGCTACAGAGAGATCCTGTCTCAAAAAGACCACACATAATAAATAAATAAATAAATAAATAATCATTTTTAAAAATCTAGAAGAGAAGCCAAGGAAGCAGTTGGCTGCAGTTCCCAGTAGAGAATCCTGGGAAAAGCAGTGTCCCCTCAGGTGAAGCTTCTAAGTGAAAAAACATGTAATGGCAGAAAATAGCATCATCAAATGGAGGACCTAGAAGCATCCATGAACCCCAAATGAGGCAGCCCCATGAAGGCAGCCTGCAAGAAATCCCCATGGAGAATCAGCAGAGTCCCCTCCAGTGAGCATTTCAAGTAAAAGAAGAAATAGCAACAGTCAGACATAACATCAGCAAATAAGTCACTCACAACATCCAGCAGAAATCGACTAGGGAAGTTGAAGCAATCAGCTGGAGTTCCCAATTGCACTTTCTCTCTATGGCTGAGTTTCCCACGATTGGACTTCCGGCTTCTCTTTCCCACTGCAGGCACTTTTATATCATGGAATAAACAATACTCTGTTGGAAATGATTTACCTTCTTGCTGCTCTCAAGGACTCTTGGGCTGTGTTGCTGTTCTCTTCCCTCCCTGCCACAGGGGGCCGGACCACCTCCAGACCAGGGGCCTTGGAGAACACTCTGAGATAAGTATGCTTGGATCTGAAATGGGAGAGGGAAACCCCACTTCCAGAGCCATTTAGGGAGCTCAAGCAGCACATGGTAATTTACCAATACAATATACATCACAAGCACCTTTATAATTACTGAGTTCAAAGTAGTTGGTAAGCTAGTGTGATATCTTTGACCCTTGTTTAGAGGTGCTTTTCTTAATTTTGTGCCACAGGGAATTTTCTAGTAATCTTGCTATCTTCTGCTGTAGTCAGAGTCCACATGATTTTAATCTGTAAACTTGTTTATTTTTCACAGTTAATTTTTTGTAAGCATTTTGTGTATTTACAAAAATATATAGTGAACACATTATTTAAATATTTAAGAAGTAAAATTTAATTATAACACCAAGGTCTATGCACTTAGAGCTTATCCTTTCAGTTATTGAGAAAGGCTTTTTAAAGTCTCTCACTGAAACTAGAAATTTGTCTTTTTTGTTTTAGTTCATTTAGTTTTTGCCTTATGTGTTTTGAAGCTGTGTTGTTAGGTAAATGCAAAGACAAAGCTTTTTTCTACTTTCTGGTAAATTGGGCCTTGATCAGAATGAAGTGCCTTATATCTGGTAGTGGTTTTGCCATAAAGTCTATTTTTGCCTGCCAATGACATTGCCATTCTTTTGGCTTCTATTAACTCTGCATTCTTTCTCATCTGCTCACATTCATCTTCCATAGGTCTCATATTTTATCTGTCTCTTTTATGAGTAGTTGCCTATTGTTATTATTTTAACCAATCTGACAGTTCATGTCTCTTGGAGTATTTAGTCTGTTTGCACATCATATCTTCACATATTTAACTCTGCCATCTGCTGTAGAAGTATTCTTGTTCTGTATTATTTTTTAATACTTTGTATTATTTTAATTTTATATAGATGAGTGTATTGCCTACATGTTTGTAAGTGCACCTGTGCTGTGCAATGCCTGAGGAGGTTAGAAGAAGGTGTTGAATCCCCTGGAACTGGAGTT